ACTACCAAGACGGAATTTTGCCTGACTGCTTCCTTGTTGTGCAAAAGCAAATTTCCAGTAAGGGATACGTCACCTAAAATAGTTATAAAATGGTTTGGAAATTTAAAAACCTCACAAGTGCCTTACTCTAAGGATCTTTTTTTTTTTTTTTTTTTTTGATTCTACTAATCCTACTCCAAAATATTACAAAAAGTGCAAGCGAACAGAACGTTTCTTCCTAGGATAAGATGTGGAGAAATGTAAATTGGAAACATATGCGTCTTAAATCCTTGGAAACCTATAGGAATAGCAACAAAACGATCCGTGATATCCAGATTTATACCCCTATCGAGTAAGAAAGAAGGAGAACTATGCACCTAAATGCAATATGAACTTAGCTGAATGCAAAGATAGCTCGAACGCATTGCTGCAGAATTCTAGCACAGCAAAATTAGCTCAGAAACACTTTAGTTTAAAAACAATGAAAAATAGAAAAAATATATTCAAAGTAAATCAAATATTTTATCCTTACTTTGTTCACAGTTTTTATTATAAACAGTTGTCGAGCAGTGAGAATAATTCGATATTCCACCATTTGCAAGATCCAGGAAATGCCGAGCAATATTTGGTTCGTTATGAGTTGAAATATTTAGCAATTCCCTAAGGCATGCATTCTCTGTTGCAAGCCTTGCAATTAACTGCAACGAGTTTTTTTTTTTCTTTTTTTTAGTCAAATAACAAAGAAAATAAATTCATATGATGTTACTGCTTTCTCTGCTCGGAACCAACCTGACTAAACTAAACCATCAGTTTATGCTGGGGATAGAAAAATATCTTGTGACGAAATAAAAATGAGGTCCAACAAACTACCAGTTACTTTTAAAAACATTTTGCAGCCAATCATGTCATTTAAAAAAGAGATGACTGGCTGCAAAATGACCTATGTAAGACATTAATTAAAAGAAATATTAGAATATCGAATTCAAATTTTTCTGCTAAATGACACCTAACAAAAAGTACCAATGTAAAACAACTTCATAAACTATGCTAAGAACAGAGATGAAATAATAACCTCTTGATCATGATTCAAAACGCTCTCACCATCCGCAAGACATTCATTCAATAACCTTGACAGACCGACAATTTTTTCGTTTACAGAAGCTTCACACTTTTTACTAGCATGCTGCAAAAAAAAAAAAAAAAAAAAAACACCATTACCTTCAAACAAAAATGAGAAGCTAAGAAGAATTAGGAAACAAGATCAAAAAACGAAGATATATGTGATGAATTTGCTAGTAACTGATTATTTATTATAAAAAACATATAGAAATACATATAAAAAAATAAAAAGTGAGAAAACTAGCTTACTGTAACTGAATTTCGAAACGATGGAATAAATTGCTTTGCAAGCTTTGTTACAACATCCCTATGCTTTTGCATTATTAATTGTAGAGTATTTTCGCAATCCTCCAACGCCTGTCGAAGTTCCCTAAAAATTTCATTCGCATAGCACGCTGTTAGCGATTTCGAATAAATCATATCATAAAGTTCGAACGACAAACTGCTTTATTTTACATTACGACGTATAATCATAAGAGATCTTTCTATTATATCCACAACGATAGGTATGCACTTGGTAGAGAATCCAGGTGAATTATGTAAATCAAATCAGTTTGAGGTCTCTGTTATTATCAAAAATTTAACTATTAAATAAGCAGGCCAAGAGTCAAATAGATCCTACACCATAACATACCTATTTTCTTGCTGCAACTGCAAAATTTGCCGATTTTCATGTTGCAAGCCTGCAACAAGCACTTTGCGGCCTTGCATTCGCCAACAGTCATTCATATTTGCCACTTCTTCCTGGTACTAAAATAAGATCCTTTAAATGATAAGCACGTGATTTTTTCGAAAACTCGTCAAACAGCACAGTGATTGTGCTAGTATGAAAGTCAAAATTGCAATTTAAAGTTATATTTCCTTGTTAAGGACGACTTTTCCATTTCTCTTTTCAATTTAGTAATGAATTACTTAGAAAATTTTGATTTTTTTTTAAAAATAATTTTGACTGTAATTATTAAAGTATGTTTCGTCGGTACAGCTTTTGGTTTCCGCTAGTTTTTAATGTAAGTCATGCTCATCCCTTACCTATTCACACTTTGAGGAATCAATTCAACTTAATTTTTTAAATGTCATTCTTTCAACTATATATTTTGTATTTGAAAAGTAAACAAGGATCAACCTATATTATTACAGAATATTCAGTGCCAGCAAAATCGTGCAAAAAGTGGGCCTTTATAAAAAAAATTCAATGTCGCGGGCACAATAAGTGAAGCAAAATAAATCATTCAAGCTACCTTAATAATTCTTATAATTGTGAATTAACGATTACAAAACATTTTTAGGAAAGTTTCCTTACCTCCTTCATACCAGAAATTTTGTCACTAAGAATCTGACTTTTTGCAAGCGCATTATCCGTAGCGCGTTCACGTGTTTGCAAGCTGATGACAAGCTGACGCATATCAGCCATTAATTGACCGATACTTGTCGAGCTCATCGCTGAAAACAAATTAGAAGTAGCCTTCTGTGGTAAGGACCATAATACAATTTAAGAAAACTTTAAGCAAAAAAAAATTTAAGCAAATTTGAAGTTTCGGATTTTGAACATCAGGGAGAGATACTAATCTCTTTTGTTACCACCCATCAAACTTTTCAGACAGTGATATAATACTCATAAGTTCACAAGTAACTAAGCAAATGATTATCCAAAAATATAACTGAGCAAGTTAATTCCATCCATTATGTATATTAAAAGCTTACAATGTAGCTTTTGTTGATAGAAGTGGTAAGCACTCTATGTCATTCGTTCTGTAAAGAAGTTAAGATCTAGAAATATTGATTAAAACAAAACTTCCTTTTCTGTCCCTCCTCCCCCCACATCCCCACCTCTCACACTTATAAAACAAAGTTACACTTACACCCACACACGCGACAAGTACACACACACACCCATAGACACACCCGTACACATAAACACACACGGACACATTCAAACAATGTCCATAAAACTCCCTGGAATTTCATACTAACACTTCCAGACAACTCGGGTGGTCGCTATGCAAACACCTCGTCCCATGCGAAGACGTTGGGAAAGTAATCCAGAATAAGAGTGGAAAAGTAATCCAGAAGCAAAAGACGAAGAAATTGGTTGAGAGAAAGTTCAGTTACTTTGAAAATAACTGGTGTTCAAGAAATTCAGGTTTGATGGAAATTGAAATTTAACTGAATTCTGTAGATATAGGCTATAAGATTACTTCTTTTATCTAAACTATCAATATTCTTTATACGAAGTGTGAAGTTTTCCAGAATTTGAAGTAAATTATATTAACTTCCTTCTTTCTTTTTCTTCCTCCCTCTCTGTCTTGGTAGAGAACACTTAGATGCATTGATCCAGGAATATGATGAGTACGAACAAACGATTTACTGAAATCTTCCATTCAACACGATAGAAAAAAAATAAAATTTCGGTTTTCTCATGAATTTATCCTTTTTGTGTCGTTAGCCAATGGAAGACATTAATTTCTTTGGTTTGTCATTTTATTTATCAATCAAAATTTTTAGTTATAGTCCCATCGTTGCTTTACTTGCATCCAATTTTGATTTTGCATTTCACTGCGGTAAATCTATCTTAGAACTGAAAGCTATAATAGTTATTCATGCACAGTTCTGACGTCATGCCTCTTTCGTGTTTGCAACTTTGATTTTTAATGATATTTCCTGAGTAGACTCTATATTATCAAATTTTTTTAATTTTTTCAATATCCTAGATGTAAAAATTTTCTTGCTTAAAAGAGTTTTTAACAGAATAAACTGAAGTTGCCTGCAAGATTGTCAAATGAAAGCAGAACCTTAATATTGATGACACGGCAATGTCAATGCATTCTTCACCATGCATGAGTACTACAAAGCTTTCTATGTTTTAAATCATCACATTCCTGAAAATGTCAAGAAAAGAAAGAACAATAAATCACAGCATTTATGACTGACAGCAAAATATCACATATTCACAGAATTGATGAATATAAATATTTTCACACTTTCGTCAGAAGCGGTAACACTTTTATATGCTTTTTGCGTTTATGTGATGGATTAGAAAGATTAAATATGACAGAAAGAAAAAAGAGTAATTAATTGGATGTAATGCTCCAATATGATGCGTCAAAGTGCAAAAGATTTGTTATCCACAGAGATTATCTGATCTTCTACCCAATACATCTTCAAATTTTATTTTTCGTCAGTACATAAAGATTTAAAAAATGAATTTGGAGCCAGTATTTACGCATATATTTTTGCATCCATGCAATCATTAGAAAAATAAAGGGGTGAGCGTAAACATTAATTAATACTATCAACTTCATGAACTTCTGCTCCTTATGTCCTGAAAAGGAGTACGAAAGAAAATAAATTAAGGAAAAAAGAACAATGAAAGAAATGCTAAAGAATCTCAAGCTTAAGAAGTAAATAAATTTCAAAACAGAACCTAAATCATATTTGTAATTTAGTTCTGAGTTTACGTTGAATCTCCAGTGCTGAAAAATCTGAACAAAATTCCCATCCTTCTAAATGTCCTTTAACTTTACACAAAATGCAAATATTTAGGTACTTTATCAATGGATTCGTGAACTGATGGACTGAATTTCTAAATTTTCTTTTCCGATTTTTTAAAGTGTAAGAATTTGCGATTATGTTATGCAGAAATAAAGCTAAATTTATTCACAACTTTATTGATGAAGATTAAAGATACGAGATGCACCATATTCATTATCTTTATTAGTGTTCGCAATTAACATTAAAGTGGAAAAAGTGCGCAGCAAGTGAAGACAGGTGAGAACGAAAGAAATTGCTGTGATATTTGTTAGTTATGCTAGCTAGTGTAATAAACTTCTTAAAGCATTTCTTTCTTTCGTGAATTTAAATCAAAATTGTAAAAGTTTCCAGAAAATGTTTTGAGCTCACAACAAATGTTTGAATTTCTCCGTGTTTCGCTATCGGCCGCTTTGTGCCATGGTCGAAATGATCGCTTAACACGGTATGTTACTAAAATTCTTCATCAGTTGATTTATTGGATTTCAATAGAAGGTTTTGTTTTAATTAATAAATCAAATGATAAATGAAAATTTTTTAGAAGCAATCAACGGAAGCACCGGAATATGAATCCAAGCCAATGTCAAATCTTTGGTATATTGCCCTATCATTTTTTTTTTTTGCTTTCATTATTAAAGATATAATTTATCATCATTGTTAATGGTTAAAACGCGATTTCTAGGGACGATGCAAACTGAAATGAAAAACTATTCCTGAAATCAAACCCATATCCTTTTCTAACTCATTTCTAAACTATTCATTAACTAATTCATTTATATAAATTTGTGCACATCTCAGCTAAATGTTACTGAAAGCTTACTTTACTGAGTTCTCTAATTTCTTTAATTGAAACTCAAGTTACCTGAATTTGAAACTAAAAATCAAATTCTGTCTATTATATCATATGTAGCATATATATATATATATATATATATATATATATATATATATATATATATATATATATATATATATATATGTAACTAAGCTACAGTGTAGTCCACCGAATTAAGAAATGACGCAGAGTTTGTGCTTCTCTCAGCTTCATGTCAGTTCTTCAATGTGCAGTATTGTTATCTTTTACCCGGGAGATCATTAAGTGGTAGTAAATACAGTGTAAAAGGTTTATTGTTTCTGGCATCTATAGTACAGTGCTCAAATAGTCCATGAAACTTATTCTAAGAAAGACGATCAAGAAACTGCCAGAGATTAGTGCTCATATTTTATTCTTGATTTAGATATTTGCTATTACATAGTTTATGAATGAGCGAGTGGCATGAGGTCTTTTAGCATATCTCGTGGCACTCGTCCAATTTATAATGTTACTTGCTTTCCTTTTCAATTTATTATTCTAGAGAGAGTGAGAGAAGTAGCAAACGACCAGGAAGTTTATCGAATTAAGAGCACCCGAAAACACAACAGGTAGAGTAAACTCACAATAAAGAATAATAAGGAAGGCAAGCTTGAAGTTTTCATCGTTTTCTTTAACAGATTTCTACGTTTACTTTTCTCTGTATGGAATAGATTGCTTGTTAGCACTTCAGTGCAGTTTTTTTTCTTCTTCTCTTCATAGCTGAACACAAATATTTGATATTCAGAATAGAAGCGAACCACTATGGCAGTAAACGACGACCTGAAGAAATACGTAAAACCGTCCCACAACAGCATTCACCACAAAAGAAATTACCATTATCTGACAAGTCAACGATATGCTTCATACGAGTGGCATCATTCGGTACACAAACTACCGTAAATTTTCTCTTCTTTTTGAGCTCAATCTTTGATTTATGATTAAATTCAAAGAATAGACTATTTGCCTCGCTTCTTGGTTATTTCAAATAACTAGTATGAAATCTTTAATGGTTATTTAGTCTCAAAAATGATTTGCTCCGACTTTTCAGTTTTCTCTGCTATTGATCAATGTCGGATATAATCATTTGCATAACTGCAAAGAAACTCGAAATAACAAATCAAAATTAAAATTAAATTAATCATTCTGAAAGTCTTGAAGTGATTTTCTCTTAAAAAAGAAAAAATTTTAAATGTGTTATTTAATGCATTAATCGATTCGTAGTAACATATTTTTTAATCTGACTGGAGATATTTAGTAGTACTGAACTTTCAACACTCAAGATTTAGGAAGAACGGGAATTTAAAAAGAGTACCACAATAGTGTCTAAAGCTACACAGACGCCGTTTTTCACCATCGACAAAAAAGGAACCAGTGGAAAAAGCGAATACGAAGAGCGTTTGAAGGTATATATATATATTTTAAATACCTCGTTTAGCACGATAATGTAAATTTGAACACTGGATCTAATATAGAGAATTAGAGATTACTTTACATTCATTGAAATTTTTATTACAGTCGTCGAGAACACTTACGTAATCGATAAGCACTTTGATAAAGGAAAAAAAAATAAAAATAAGTACCGTAAAAGTTTTCTCATAAAGTTGATTCTATAACTGTTACTGGGAACTGCTCAATATTGTATATGTATGCGTATGCCTTTTTTTTTTTCAGTTTCAAGCATGGAATGATGCAAAATTTTTTGTGACAAATCAACTTCTAGCACAATGTCTTCACACTCCTAACTGCACGAATGTATTGAGTTCAACAGAAACTTACCCTTCAACTAAATCTTGAAATATTCGTTTATAGAATCAATTTATTTATGATAAAATTGTTCGGAATAATCTTACACAAATCATTAAATAAATACTGTGCACTGCAATTGGTTTACAAATTAATGTCTTCCGGTTGAGACAGAATTTTTATCGTTCCATTAATTTAAAATAATAGCTGAGGCAGAAATAGTCAGATCATATTTTACATATTCAATACAGAATATTAATAGAATCACAGCTTCTGTAATGACTAAAATGCACCGTGGAATGCCAACGTAATCTACGGAAACTTCAACTTTTTCAGAAATTGTTGTTGACCCACCCAAAGGCCAGGATATGATAATTAATGTGATGATAATTTCTATAACTAACGCAGCGATCGCTACAAAACTGAAAAAAAAAAAAAAAAGTATTTTAATACAAGAATTAAGTTTAAGTATACCTGATGCTTAAAAGAAAAGTGAAGCGTGACTTACGTTCTTCGTATTCGCATACAAATAATATATAAAATAATACTGAAAATCCATATAAGCATCATAACAATAACACCAGGACCAAAACCAAATACAAGTGTAGACATTCCCTGCAAAGTATAAAAAAAAAAGAAAACACGTAATGTATTCGTAATAAAATGAAAAGGAAAAAAGGGTGAAATCGTCTCAAAACTCTTACGATAAAGTCAGTTTTTTATTATCCATGCCAACTATTATTCAAATTAACTGATTCATAAATTACGACTCCTAGAAAATGAGACATACAGAAGACTAAATCAAAAATTGGAAAGTAAACGTAGAAGTAAAAAATAAATATTATGACTTATATTATTTACTGCATAGCTCTTAATAATAATCTTCCATTTCATTCCACTTAGGGGTGAGCGTTCACTAAAAGGTCATAACTGTAATCACCGATTAACCCGTTATTCAGGTTGACTCCAGGATTTTCCAGTCAGAAAAACTACAACTAATTGAATATCATTCTGTATCAACTAAACACTATGGAAATACGGTTACTATAGAAACTAATACGCAACAAATATGACTATCCTTTGAAGCGGCTTAAAAAGATTTATGAATAATAGTTATGATATGCAAAAAATACTAACGATAGTGGTTGTCACTTCGTTTTAAAGCTGACTGAAACTACTATGACAACTTACCGACATAACACTTGTCAACAATAGAATCTGGCAATATTGGTGTAGGAGATGCAAAACCTTTCATGTATGATGTTGCTCATCCATCTTCTTTAAAACTTGGATATAATGTTATGCATAGCAATGTTATTATTTTCAATAAACAAACAAGCAGGATGCTTCAAAAAAATGAGTGATGTATACTAAATATAACTTTTTAAAGTTTTTTTCATATTCAAACTTAAGTCGTGTTTTAGAATAAAACTAGAGAAGTTTAATATCGAAATGAAAATTTAGGCTTTGTTCCTAAAATTTGGACTATTAAAGTCTTAAACCTTAAATGTTTTTAATGTTTTCTTTAACTGATCAGTAATTGTAAATTGAACCTTATCATTATAAAAGTGTTTATATTTTGACGTTGTAAGAGATTTGATAATTGGTTACTCAGTACTCAGTAAATACTCAGTTTAATTTAAAAATTGACTAATTATCGGTGATATGCATCACTAATCTCAATTGATTTTTGTACCACTCAAAAAAATATAACCAACAAGATCGGTAATTTAGCAGATCTAATAATTTTCCTTTTTTCTGAAAAAAAGAAGTGTTATCTTCTCATCAATTTAAATAGAAGAAGAAATGATGATTCATATAGTACATTGATATCACTGATACAATTACTGAGCAGATCGTTCAAATATGTGATTGTCAAAAAAAAAGGAAAAGAAGTTCTGTTGATGTTGAAAATTTTGGATAAAATACAATATATAAAGACGAATATACCATTATTAGTCATTATTTAATAAAAGTAATTTTTGAGCGACGCAACGCACAAATTGCTTCAGTTCAATAGCTTCCAATTGGTATAATAGCAGCATTTATTCTTAAAAATTCATTTTGTTCCTATTAATTGCCAATATTTCTGCACTTCCACTTTTGCTGAGAAAACTATATTGTAGAATTTTGTTTGAAAGCATTTAATGTTTGGTGGGGTAGTATAAATGGAGTAATTCTGAATAACGTGACTTGAGGAAATTTTGATAAGTAATAAATAACCATTGAATAATATTGATAATAATAAAAACAGTAGTAATAATTAATAATTATTAATAATAATAGTGATAATAATAATATTAACAATAACAATAAATAATAACAATGAATGATAAATCTAGAATACTTATTTCTTATTCCTCGCAACTATATTAAGTGTCTTGTCCACTTCAATAAGAACCGGAGATTTTTTTGATGCATTAAAGATTGTACCACAAACACTGCTGAGACTGATCACATATGTCAAACATCAATGATAGAAATTTTATACTCCCTAGGAATATTATAGTATTTCTCAATAGTATCGACAAGCAAGAAGTACACAAACTTATAAATTCATAAATAGCATCACAATTGGATAGTGAATCATCAAATATTTTTGATTACGTTTCTTGTCCGGCATGGACCAACAAATCTGTAGAAAATGCTCGATTCATAAATATTCGACCTTGTTCCTTCAGATGAAATAATCGCAGTGTTACTGAAAGTCTTATCTGTATTTTTAAAAAAAAAAAAATCATCGAGAAATCTCTCTTGCCCAATTCGGTACTGAGAAAGACAGCGCTGTTGATAAGAATGGCTGGAGAGTAAAAGGGTTTGAAAATAGCATGGCTAAGAGGTTGATAGAATGAAGCAAAAGCAGTAATTTGAAGCAGGATATAAGTATTGACGAGATTAATGAAATAACCTACATTCCAGAGGTCGTCGAAAGTATTTGTTAATAGTCTATGGCAGACAAAAAACCTGAAATTGCAGATATTAGTGAGAAAATAGATTCAAAGTAGGTGAGTCCTACAACGATTTTCGATATTCTGTATTAAAATGTTTTTGAATTGATATGGAAGAGTGTAAAATTCAAAGGACGTGGTAGCATATGTTATGGATGTTGGCTGTGATGGTAATTACATTGAAGTTGAATGCAATTTGTAATCTCATTTCTCTTGTAGGGATTTGAAATGAAGTATGTATCCGAATTCATACAAGTGCCGGGATGTTTATTGTTAGCCTTTTTTGCTTTTAAATGTGCCAGATTAGCGTATTGTAATTTTTCACTTTGATAAAGTAAATTGAAATTTAGAAAAATATATATGAACGCTAAATTCTTTCTCTGAGACATATAGCGCGAATTCAAACTGAGTTTGAAAATTTGCAAACCTTCCTTTGGCAGCGTATTATTCCCTGATTTTGCCTAAACAGGGAAATTTTCATTGTAGGATTGCTGAAATTGTGAAGTATTTCCTACCGTTGTTTGCTTTTTTTTTACTTTGTTGAAAAATCGAATTTATATTCTAGGTAGTATGAAATCCATATGAAAATGCAGCAGTCAAAGCAGCAAGAAGGATATTATGCTGTATATATCCCGTCACCAGACGGGTTATCTGGTGAAGGTGCCGTATTCACAACCTTGAGGGAAGCATCCAGTTTTGCGAATACGCCGGAAAGTAAAACAAAGGGTTAGGTATCCAGAATATATCACTTGAATAATAAAATGGAATAATACAGCAACGAATAACTCTAATACCTTGCAAAAATTATTTGTGTTTTTTCAGGTGCTCGTTTCAAGCGCTTTAAAGATCAGGATGACGCAAAAAAATATGCCAAAAATGGTGATATGTTTTGTAAAAGCCCAGAAATATCAGCTAAAAGTCACACAGGAGAGCCAACTTCATCTTTTCCATCCGTATCTCGAATTATGTTCAATCGTTTGAAAAAGGCAATCGAATTAAAGGTATGTGTTATATATTGATGAGTTTAAGAAAAAAAGAAATGTACGTTGGACAATTTTCTTTATTTGTGATGCTTCTATTTAATCTCATATTTTCACGTTTTTTTTTTTAAAAAAAAAGAGAAGGTAATTTAGGACGATGAATTATTCTTGGAAATGGCTTTGCAGAATCCACGTTATCTAATCAATATCGGAAGTGATACACCAACAATCGTAGTTGAAGGTTTTCGTTATAATGCTATGCATCTTGCCGCTAAAGTTGGTAATTTACACGTTGCCAAATATGTTCTTCATCTTGTCTGCGATAGTCAAGTGTTGCTTGCTTTATACGGTTTGTAAATGGATTTAAATACTTTTCAGATTTCTTTTTTTAGAAACATTCTTGACAAATTTCTTTAAATTTGTTTCTGTTTTGGGGAAGGTATGGAACCAGGTAATTGTCTTTTTGTGACAATCTTTTGGTTATCTAAAAATTGATTATCTTTTTCAGCTCGCATAACAGATAAAATTAATTTAATATTTGAGGGACGTCGGAAGATGATGTTAAGATGCGCTCACGTTTACTTCTTGACTGTTATCTCAATATGCCTGATAAGGGTTCACACGATACACCATTACATTTTGCATCTAAATTTGGGCACTATAATCTGGTTGAACTGTTTTTAAGTTATAGCATATGCCAAAAAAATCCTACTAACAAGTAAGCTGATATAAATTTTATTTTTGATTATTCAATTTCTGCATTATATAAACCAAGTCTATGTAAAGTTTCAAACTCACTGTTAAAACTAATGTTTATCTCTAAATTCTTTCGGCATTACTGCTATAGAGAAAAAAGTTTTAGATAGTGGTCTACATAGACGCTAAGTATGATTTAAAGTCAATTCTTTGAAGATTTTATTTTATTTTTTTCGAGGGTCTTGGGTTAATTTTTTGTAGAGTTTTTTTCTTTTCTTTTTTTTGCAGAAATTGATTCTTGATGGCATTTAGATTGAATTTGTCTTTAAAGTATAAAAATTCAGGATGGGTTTTACTCCTGCTCAAATTTGTTGCACAAGATATGTTGGCTGTGATAAGAAAAATCTCTGTGCTGTAATGATATCACTTTTCCTCTGTTTCTTTGTTGCACTTTATCGTCCAACGGATAATTATTATTCAATAATTATCCAACTTCTCGGTATAGTTTTCAAATTTTTAATGTTAATCCTTTAACTTTTTCAGGACATCATTCTTGCTTCTGTAAAGTGCTAAGCTTTTTTTAGGAAAATGTGTGTCCTTTTGTCAGATAACTAGTAATAGATTTGTGCTGCTGTTTTGTTTTAAATATGACTACACACGCCGTTTTCTTTGATTTACAGATGAAACACCACCCAATACACTTCCAGATGATGCACCTGGATCTTTCGTATGCATGTCAGCTTTTGAAACATACGAACTTGCGGCTTACGCTGGTTTCCTTTTTTCTGTTTTTGTTTCCTTATTAGGCATAAAACAAAGTATCTCCTAACAAATGATTTTCTGTGGTCAGTGAAATAGAGCAAAAATAATCATTTAGGAGGCCGAATAACAAGACTTAGGTGATTGTTACTATCTTTGGATTTGTTACTAAAGATTTGTGTGTTGACAGCTTTATGCATTTAGTTTCCGGTATGTACTTGTGGTGTTTAAGGACCATTCGCCGATAAAGCTGTGGCACAGGAGTTTTGTGAAACATGGAAAATAGAAGAAAGAGATTGTCGTAGGTTGTATCCTCGGAAAGGTGCTGAACGTGTTGGACGTTGTCTTGCTAATAAATATAAAATAACTTGGATGGAACGCTGGAGTTTTTGCAATAAATTGCTTGATTTCCAATCCTACTCAGGTCTGTTGTATTTAATATCAGTCCTGTTTTAAAGTGATATCTTTTTATTTTCAAAAAATAAAGCGCTATCAACATTGAATAAAGCAGAATTCTTTCTAGCCTTTGGCGGAATTTGTTGCAGTGAACAAAATATGGTTCCTTGTTTTAAATTTTTCATTTACACTATTCATTTTTGCAGGATTGGAAGAATTAAATCGCCACCTTGTGAATATTAGATTGCATCCACCGGCTTGTTCAATTCGCACTATGAACTGTGATTGCGATAACGATTCTGTGGTTTTTTCGGGTGTATGTGATACCGCGTTAAATGATCAAAGGAGTGAAAACGATGACTGTAAAACCGATGATTTACATAACACATCGCTAGGTGGAATAACAGAAAAGCAAGTTTTTTAGTTTACAGCATTTCTAACTTTCTAGAATCCTGAAAGATACGTTTTATATCTTTACATTTTCGCAGTCACCCCAAGTACTTCGCTTCGTAGAATAATGAAAGGTTAACCTGACACATTTAGTTATCAGTGATGCTTCATTTCTGAAAGTAGTAAAAAGTGAATCTAATTTCTGTTATCTTTTTTTCCTATTGACTCTATAAATTTCTCAGAAATTTCCATTACTACTTTCATAGGGCAGCCGTGAATGCGAACAGTGACCACGTACATTGGTAGTGTAATTTTCTTTTTGCCGTGTTTACGCCTACGTGCTTTGACCCGTCTTGCTTTCTTTATAAGTCATACTCGAATTCAGTTCATTTTAGTCAAATTACTGAATTTACTGAACTGGAAACTCTTTCCACTGATCGTTTTAAAAAGTTGTTCTTGAACATTTTTGAAAATAGATGCGATTTTTCTTTCTTTTCTTAATGACTGTGACTTACATTTTACCAGTATCTGTCATATTTATGCATTGGTTGAACGTCTGGACCAGAGATGCTTTTGTCTTTAATTTATTCAAAATCTTCCATAAAATTCAAGAACTGCTTGCCTTTTCTTTCTTTTCCTAATGACTGTGTTTCCACGGATTGTTTTTCGGCTTCTTATCCATAGTGCTCGCCTTCTCGTTTTTTCTCTTTTTGGGCTTTACGAACTGCTTTGCTTTTATGTGTTAACATGATATATATATATATATATATATATATAAAGATATTGAAATATTTTAAAAGAATAATTTCAATTTTAGGTTGGCAAATCTTCATTTGGATTCATCATCATCATCATCTGAAACACTTTTGAATTCAGGCGACTATATATCTAAAGACTATGTTTCCTTCGCGGAAAACCTTATAACCTCCGAATCGCCCTTGACTTCAGATTTGAATATTGTTATTTCACCTGCTCAGCTTAAGCAGACTAACAGTAACAACGAACGAAATGACTCTATTGATTTTGATTATTATACACCACCATCATCGCCGGAGCCAATTTATATTTATGAAGGGATTCCATCGAAGGATGATGAGGAACTAGTAACTGCGCTTTCCCTGGTAAGCTATTTTGCGCTAAAAGGACAGCAAGAAATAATTATGAAAAGGGTGTAACAGCAAAGAGTTTCTCAGAAATTGGATTATGGCTCGTTTTCTGTAGATTCATTTGACGAGAGATGCATAATTATACTCACTGTGCAGATATTTGTTATTAGTTAATTCTTTGCTGTATAACACCCAAATTGAAACTTTATAAGTGAAAATGTGTCGTGTTAAAAACCATAGTCCACAAACGACCCAAAATAGCTTATCAGCAGAATAGAAATAATATTTTTATTCTCTTGCTTTTTTTTTCTCAGAAGTTCTCTGATTATTCATTGGGATGTGTTTCTTACCATGAATGGAACTACCTGATGAATACATTGCATCAGATTACTGGAAAATGCCACCAATTTCAGCCATTCCGTTTAATTCATCCTCTGATTAGTGTGTCATTAATTTGGTTTTGTGTTTTGTAGACCAGTACAGTACCTCTTGTTCTTGAGTGCAGTCTATTTTAGTTCTACTTTATTTTTAAACTTGTATTCCTGCATACTTCAATTTTTTCAGTCTTTTGTAGTACAAGCGGTTTTTTTTTTTTTTTCGAGTTCATATATCTCTAATTTATATTACGCTTTGCAAAATGGTTTTTAATTAAGGTCGATCCGCACCTGATTGAGCGTTTTGGTGCGATTTTTGAATATATGCGACATGTGCGCAACGTGCCGGAAGCGGAACGTTCTCATTGGCCATTCACCGATTCACCACGTGCGAAAAGACGCAGAATGTAGATTTGAAAACGATATATCTAACGGGTTGCTTGTACTAATGGAAAGATTTTTTTTTTTTTTTTTCGTAGTTATGCTTCACTGATTAAATTCTACCTTTTTGGTACCATATTTCAAGGTTCTGTTTTTTTTTTTTTTTTTGCTCTTGATCTTAGAACTACATCAGATATATATAGATGAGTGGGAAATTTATGTTCACTGTATTAATGTAATATCGTTTCAGGTATATGATGCAGCTTCAAATATGTCTAACCGGGTAGTTTGGGCATCGTGCTCCAGTTTTTCTCACTGTCTAAGCATGCCTTAACTCCGTATCTTTGTCTTGTACATATCGAACACTAATTTGGAAGAAATTTTTAAGGTCACGAGATTCAGTTATTCATAATTAATATTAATTTAAAGAGCAAATTTGAATTTATGTGAATAAAGTTATTCATTTAATCGAGTCGATGTAAATCAACTGTTTTTTTAGTCAGATTCAGTTAAGCTGGAATTTAGATTGGATTCAGTATGACTGGAATTGACTTTGTTGTATAATCTTTGGGCATTGGCAAGAAATAAATGTATAGCTATAAAATAGATAACTGCTTTCATTTGTTTCCGGAATATTTAGCACTTTATCAAATGCGAAGAGTTCGTGCAGATGTAGCAATGAATTCCTACAGTCGCGATTTGAAGTATTTCTAGTCATGTTTTCATCTTAATGAAAAGAGGTTTTTGGAGAAGGATACAACGATTTATCAACACTTTTTTTTTCAGTAAATACTTCAAGAAAGTGTGACAAAATTATGCTTTGTGAAAAAGTTGTTTATATCTGTAACATACAAAAATATGTAACATCCCATGTAAAACTCTTACTTCTTTATATCTGTCTACCTCAAGCGTTTTATGTTCAGTTGAATACTCAGTGCAGACATTTTTGGTCCACCCTTGTTTTCTTCAATAGCGTTAAGTAGTAATTGACTTGTCTTTTATTATTTTATGATCCTATTTGGATTCATTTTCTTAAAATAAATTTCTGTTTTTAGCTGAGCTGGAAGTATGTAGATTTCAAATATTATGGAATACAAATGTTCTCATTTATAAAACAAGCAAAAGTGTTTTGGTATGCAGTTGCTAGACAAATAATGTACCTTAATGGATTGTATGAGCTTTATAATCGGACTGAATGTTCGTATTGATTCCATTGCATATCTCATTTTGGGTTTTTTTGTATCAGAAACTCTAATCAAATCTAACCATAATTTCTCAGTATACAATAATTATTGATGTCATTCAAACATTGTAAGGTGCTTTGCTAGGAAAGATCCAAGATTTTAACTACGTTGCAATATGTGATTCAAAAAATTACAGAAGTCTTAAGAGAATTCCTTAGAGTTAGGTTAGCAGTGGATTTTACTTTATATTTGAAGTTATGATTACGAAGGATAGCCGACTGACGAATAGGAATTTTTTCGTTCAAAATTTATAAATATGAGGCATGCAAATGGAGGATAAGAAGGAGGAAGTGACTTGCATTCTCCATGAGAAAATTGCTGCTATATATCGATTACTTGGGCATTTTTCTCTATAATTCCCACTCTTAACGAAGAACTGCCGTGGAACGGAACAATATTCCTGTTAGTATTTAAACTGAATCTTTTAATGGATAAAATTCAAAGTTTTTGAATTTACCATCACTCAAGTGTCTTATGAAGTCGATACTTTAGTAGGTTGAAACAAAAAAAAAAATTAACTATTTTCCTCACATGCTTAAAACAGGGATGTAAGCATCGCAATGCTTAGGTATTACTCTGGTTGTCTACATCCGATAAGACTGGGATTGACTTTTAACGCACTTCATATCATTTTTTGAAACGCAAAGGGAAGTTTTGGATAAAATCTCTTTTTTTCTTTTTACAAAAAAAAAAAAGCATTTGATTGGTTTATGAAGATTAGCTTTATTAAATTAAAACATTCACATATGCGATTTCTCATCTAATTTATTTAGGGACATACCTACTTCACATGTCAACTTCAATTTTGGGTGACATTGGAGCAAAATGTCATTATTGTTGTCACACCCCGATATCGGTGCCAACAAGACCGGAGTTTCAATAATAACAATAATTAGAAATAGAAATTTAACGCATGCAATTATCTTTTTCTTGCAGTGAAATAATGGCTTTGTTGTGATAGAGAAGCGATGCATACAGTTGGCAATAGCTTTTCAATGATAAGTCTTATTTTTAGAATGATGAATAACTAACTATTCTACTAGTCCTCTTTCCAACTCACTGATTGCTTATTGATTTATGTTTTCATATGCATCCAGGCTCATTTGTTCTTTAGGCAAAAAGGATGAAAACAGGCTTTAATGTGCTACACTAAACTAATAAGGAAGAAATCTTTGGTCTTCTTCTTCTTTTCATCTAATGGCTCAATTTTAAAATTGTGTCGTATTATATATATATATATATATATATATATATATATATATATATATATATATATATATATATATATATATATATATATATATATATATATATATATATATATGTCTTCTTATGGTATTATCTCCTATAATATTTTACTAAATTCATAAGGAATGTTTAATAATAAAATTATGTGTTAATCATATTAATCAACAATCACACTTTTTTTCCGAATCTGTCCTTTGTTCTTCAAAGTTGTTCCATACTATCGCATTGTCCTGGTGTCATTACAATCTAAGCAGCAGATCAGTTCAAATAAATTGAATAGGTCAAATAGTGGAAGATTGATGTTGAATATGATCATCTGTGTACAACTTTTTTTATCACCTCTTAGTAAAAATCTGTCTTTTTTTTTTATTAATGGGAGAATTAATTATAAGTGGCTGATTGTATTTAAAATCGAATGACCAAATTACAGAATTAGGAGTTTGATAATTTTTATTTAGGATCCATGTTTCAGTCCATGAAAGGTCACATTTCGGGTGGTTAAAAACTTTGTTGGTTTTGATATTTCGCCCGACAATAACTTATTCATTCAAATAATTTCCTTCATAATCATCTGAATACATCAACTTTCTTTAAAAAAGACAAACAGGCAAACAGTAAGTAAAATTTTCCTTTAAAAATGTGAATGAAGATAAGTTATACCGGTTAAACTTTAAACTAAATTTACTAAATTAACTACGAACAACAAATTTTTAACTAATTCTTTTCTACTGTTAGCTTCTCAAATGCTTTCTTTAAAATTGGTTCCCTCTAACTTGCTAACACTTACTAATATTTGGACAAAGTATATCAAATATGTGAAAACGATGTTAAGTCCATTAAAATGTTGCAGTTTTGTTCCTTCGACACTATCAGTTAATTAAATTCTTTTAAATCGTAAAATTTATAGCACTCTTGTGGAATGAGTCAGTATATAATTAGCGTAATAAAACTTTCTTGACTCATATTTCTGAGGATGAATTTAGATCTGGAACTTTTTTATGGAACTAAATTCATGAAAGGATCTTGTATTTTGCAAATATAACAGCGCAATTCGACCGTTATTTTGCTCCTTTAAAAGCAACGAAATGGCATATGTAAGTAGAGACAAGAAAAAAACTATTGTGCAATATTTCTTGAGTTTTAATGGAAGCGACATATTTCCATTGAGCTTCATCTAAAATTTCCATTTTGCCCTCATGGTCATCAAGTTTCAAAAAAACATCACTAATAATCGACCATGAACTAAGCACCAATTGTAATTTTAAAGGCAGCAATCGAGAAACAGAAGTAAGTAAATAAAAAGTATTATTTTAGCTTTAATATGAAAGCAGTTTCGGTGCCACTAACCTGTAATTAGTAATTGCATCACGAACCAAAAAAAAAAAGAATGAGAGAAACCCAGCTACACAATGCTCGTTTTTCATATTCCCTATTGCATAGATCCACTTACCTAGTATTTTCATCAAATGTATTTCTTTAATTTCTTAGTTACTTTAAAATTTTTTAAATACAACTAGTTTCTTGCATTTGAAATCAAACCAAGAAGAAAAAATTTCATTTTCCTTTCTTGATGAGAAAGGCACAATAAATAAACATAGAACGTGACGCATTAAACAGCCATGGGACGTTTATATTACCTCATTTATATCGTTTTCCACTTTCTGTTGGCATGTTAACCGCTGGTTGGAAAAATAAATTGGTAAGTGGTCGGCTTTATGAGTTGCTTTGGGAATAATGATGCTTAGATCTATTCGAACTCGTTGCTTTACTAACAGGAGTTGAAATATCCTTACTGATTATCTTGAATTATTTGGTCTCGATATTTAGCTAATTTTAATTTCATCTTTTTTTATCAAATTCATTCCGGCTCATTGTCACTTTTCATTAGATTTGTTAAATTTAGACCAAAAATATTGTATGCATTAACTTTCAGTTGTTTGCTATAGATAAATATTATGGAGTATGGTTACCGCGGTATCTGTCGTTAAATTAGTTATTAAATTTGATTCGTTGTAGGATCTTTTTCTATCATCAGCAGTTCACGTTTAGTGATTCTATAAATGGATGTTAATTTAATTGCAATCGAGAAAACTCATTGACTAGAATTTCATGGATAGCGATAGAAGTACTGAGTTTCATTTCACATGTCATTGCATTACAATAAATTGTAGGAATTTTTTGATTAAGGTGCCAAATAAAATGATATGTAGTAGTCAAGTAGATTGCGAGCAGAACCTAAAAAGTCTTGCTAAAATGACAAAATTGACGTATATCTTTTATAACCTCCTTGAGATGATTTGTGTTTCTTAATTGCAAAATGGTAGGAGACTGAATTAAATATGTAATGTTGTTTTTGCATTTAAATTTATCATACTTCTGAGCTTTTTTGGCATATCATTTGCCAAATGGATCGATATATACAGACTTGAAGTTATTCTAAAAATGTCAAAGGATTTATTGGTTGAAGAAAAAAGAAGGATAGTCATCAATGACTAGATACGATATAAACCCATTAGGGATTTTCTTCTGGCAACGATC